CAGTCCATAGCTATACATAAGTTCATTTTGCTTGTAAGTCTCTCTATCTATAAAATAAAATAATTATAGCACATCATCCTAAATCTCCATTTTAACCATTGAATATTTTACTGGTACCAGGTAGGATTAGTTTGAATGGAAAAGATAACTTCTATTGAAAAGATATAATAAATGAAATCTGATTTGGTAAGTTTTTAATATGTCATGTAAATTATTCAATACAATTTAATAAGTTTGATCTTTATTCTACGGAATGAAAGCTTATGGCGATATTATGAAAACAAAGAATGTGATGAAAATTTTGTCATAATATGAAAATAGCTTTTCTCATTTCCCCTTAACTAGAGTTGCCTTAATCAATTTGTGTTGAGAATCTAGGACTCTAGGACTATGAAAGGTATAACAAAATTATATCCAGATTCTAGAGTCTAAGAAGCAATCCTTAAGTGGATGAATAGATCCTAGATGTTTGTCAATGAAAAGGCAAAGAGATCAAATAAAAAGAGAAAAATCAGATGAACTATATTTGTTTACTTCCTTGCAGAATAGTGTAATCATCCAAAATATATTAAGCAATGTATTAAGCTCATGTGAACATGGTAAAGCCTCTTTCCCTGAGGACTTACATACACATGCTAAGGTAATGTAGAYGTAGGAAAACATACTGTCCAGAGAAAACCATGTCAAATTCTATAAAACAGTAAAAATAAATACCAAAATCTTTCCCTCTCAAGAGAGGAAAATGTCAAAAAGAGAAAAGCCAACATGTCTTTCTTGGAGAAGTGTCTCTAGTTTAGAATAAGATAGAAAGTATCAGGATGAGAAAACAGAATGTTTGAAGACTTGGAATCAGACTAGGGTCATGAACTTTTGTTTATTTGAGCATTGTGTACRTAAGGGGTTTGTGGATGATAAGTCTAGGGAAGTAGGCAGTGATTTGGTCATGCATTATTTAAAAGTGAGGCTGAAGAGCTTTTACCTGACTCTTAATCCGACTCAGGCTTATATTTTTAGACCTTTTCAAGCCCGCCCAAGTCATGTATTTTAATTCCTTTTTCTCAAAGGAGAATTTTAAGCTCTAAGACTATTTCTGAAAGGTATCCTAAAATAATAAATACTCAGACTTTTCTCCAAATAGCTACATCAATTTTTGCTATTTTATTTTATTTTGCTAGCATTTATTGGAATTTTATTTTTCATGATAAGAAAGTAATRTGATTTGTGGATGTTTTCCATGACATTGTTCAAACTTCATCTTGGATCAATGTTTTTGTAGCAAAGGGTAAAAATGTACATTTTGTTGAGTTATTAGTGTCAACAGCAAATCTGGGTTGAACATATGCTGAGGATGAAACACTGTATTAAGTACTGAGATATGAGTAGGAATCATTAGCCCTTGTCTTACCATGTAATTTACTGATAGCTGATAAGATTGCCCAACATAGTGTATTTCAGAAAAGTGGGACATTCATCCAYTGAGGATGCACGTAGTGCTTTTTGATGCTTTATCATCCCTTTGTAAATCAGAGAACCTTTTTTTTTTATTCTCACCTGCTACATGATATAGTGTAAAATCTGGAAAACCTGATATAGAAATAAATATATTAAGACATCCAGGGAAGAAAAGGTGTCCATCATAAATGCTAAGAGTCTAAAAAACASGAGAAAGTTACAGAACATAGATCAGGACTCATCTCTATTTTTTAAGCAAAGACTAATTGTACTTATAGTATTAGCACTAAAATTRCATGCATAAATCAAATCATGTCCATAATTAATCAGAAGTTATTATATTTTATTAATCAGTAAAAATATTTTACATACACATGCTAAGGTAATGTAGATGTAGGAAAACATACTGGGGGGGAATTCACTATGTGGTCAACTATACATTATTTATTCTATTGAGAGTTAATAAGTAGAAAGATGATTCCTAAACCCCTTCAATTTGGGAAAGAGTGTGAGTTTCTATGAAACTTTTGAAAATAACAACCACTTTAACTTAATAATCTCTTTTTAAGGAATCCCATTATGTGATGGGTACTGTCCTGATTGATTTAGATACATGGTGTCCCCCAAAAGCTCACATGTGAGGCATTACAGGAATATTTAGAGATGAAACTATTAGATTACGAGAGAAGAAAGTTAATCAGTGGATTAATCCCTTTAATAGATTAATAATATGAATGGATTGATGGGTGGTAACTGTAGGAAGGCAGAGCATGGGTGGAGGAAGGAGGTCACCAGGCAGGGATTATTTTATCCCTGGATCCTTGCACTCAAGTTCTCTCTACTTCCTGGCTGTCATAAACTGAGCCACTTTCCATCAGGATATTATGCCTCACCATGGTTCAGAGTTATGGAGACCTTCTACCCTTGACTGGACCTCTGAAACTGTGAGCCAAAGTAACCTGTTCCTCCTCTAAGTTGCTCTTGTCAGGTCTTTTGGTCAGAGTGACACAAAGTTGACTGACACATCCGCTATTTTTGACATTAGGAGTGCAAAGAGGCAACTGTAACTGGAAAATCAGCAAATAACATTATTGAAAAAAAGCAGCAAAAGGCTACACACATACACACAAAAGATATGCTCACATATTTATGTGTTTATTTATTTRAATGTTTATATACAATAAAATAACTATGGTATGGGTAATGCACTCTGATATGCTTTTCTATTGTTGTATTAACTTACAATTTTGTTGATCTTTACAAGCATTAACTGTCCCTACCTTCACGTCTCATCTCTAGGTAATAGATGGGGGCAGTATGGGAGATCCTAGTGTTGAGTAGAGAGTCTGGAATTTAAAAACAGTCTAATCTGACTCTTAAACCTTCTGTTCTCTTTACTTTCTTCAGTATAAATTTGGTATTCTCCCTCTTTTTTTAATACTACTAAAATTTTCTATTCTACCTATTTTCATCTATTTCATTTGATTTGTATCTCTCTCTCTCTCTCTCTCTCTCTCTCTCTCTCGTGTGTGTGTGTGTGTGTGTGTGTGTGTGTGTGTGTGTCTCCAGATATGTACTTAAGTGTATATATTTAAATTTTGGTCTCAACCTAGTAAATTACTCTCTAGATACAATGTATATGACAAAAATTTGGAAACACTCTGATGTAAACATAATGAACTCAAAACTTCTGATAAAACTGCAAGCTCAAGATGGGCAGACTCTGGGAGTCTCCATGACCCCAGGAAGGAAGGAGTTAAGAGAGAATAGAGATTGACAACATGGTGCTCTATTTAAAAATAGCTCTAATTGGTTATCTCCATCATCTCTGAGACAGCAGAGACATTATCCTTCCACCTGAATTTTCAAGTGGCAAAAGAGACAATCATAGCCAAGTAGTTCAGAATGTGGGCAGGGGAGTCAGACTGTCTGGCTCCACAATTATAAGTTGTGTACTTTCAGGAAAGATATTTAAACACAACCTCTTAATTTATAAAATAGGGATAATAGATCCTGCCTCAGAGAGTTGTGGTGAGAATAATAAATAAAAAGCATTTGTACTAACAAATTGTGTATTGTCTGCTGTCAGGAAATATTGGCTATTGGCTAGTAAATAAACAATTCACCAAAATCTTTTCGAAAACTGAGAACAGAATTTAAAACATTCTATTAATATATCTCCTCAGAGACAGTCAATAAATATTTCTGATGTCTTTGGGTTCATGTCAGTAAATTTGGCCAAGAAATCAAAAATTCTTATTTTACTAATAATACTATCAATAATAAATACATAAATTTTTCTCCCTGTATACAATGTTTGGAACAGCTCTCAGACACATTTATGGTCATGTTTTTTATTCCATGAATATTAATTAATGCTTACCTAAATTAGCTTGACACTAAGAAAGAATATAAAAATGACTTAGAACTCTAAGTTCAAATTTTTAGTTACAAATGAGCACAACAGACAAGGAGAGAAAGAAAGAGATTGAGAATTGAAATCCTGGGTGCATTTGCTGACTCTCCCATTTTTCTAGAAGGCAATGGACATCATCAACTGAACATGGGCAACATGGGAAAGTTTTGCTGTTGGTGGTTGGAAAGAGATGATTTTTTGTTCTTTTAGTTACTCATTGAACATAGTTACAACAATGACAGAAACAGAGATTGGCTTTGAAAATGCCTACTAAAAATACACATCTATTTCCTGTGTGAACCAAGATCATTGCTGCTACGTCTCTGTGAATTTAATCTGGCTTCTCAGGCAATTGGAATATTCAAGTCTGACTTCCCTTTTAGTTTCCCCACAGAAGAGGAGGAAAATTACTTTAAAAAAAAAAATCTCTCCAAGGAATCGTTTTGAGGAACTGAGCCAGAGCCGTTCATTAGCAAAGATGTTATATATTTATAATATTTTTCAATTGAAAATTTTCATTATAGAGTGAGTAACTAGTATTCTGGTAATTAATAAATTAAATTAGCATCACATACCATGCYGAGAAAATAATTCAGGGGAGTGAAATACTACAATGGATGGTTGCTAGAACACTAGGAATGTGGCCACAGCAAAGATGATAGTCATTTCTTGTTCCCTATCACTATAGCTGGTTTCAATAGAGAATAAGTTCATCATATCAACTAAATCCTAGTGAAACTCTGGAAGGACAGGGAAACCTCACTTACTCATTCTCTGTGACATCTCCCTCAGCATAGTTTCCATAGGTTTAAATGCTTTTCAATGTATAGGTCAATTGGGTACAAATTCTTGGGTATTTAGAATACTTATTATATAGGTTCTCTTTTTTACCCAAGTTAATTTTTCTCCTTACCTTGTATTAAAATACTATTAACTGTAACTGTTTGCTTGTATTTGGGACATGAAGATGAAGATATATTCTACTGTAGTTATTGTGTCATCAGCTGAGGATTTGGGGACTGGATTGAATGGCAATTATTTTCTATCCCAGAGCAAATGTTTTTGAGGCTGTGAAGAGCTGGGCCTGCAAGTTCACATTTCCACTCACTTTTTTTTTTTCCTGTCTTTGCAGTTCCGCCATGGTTTTTAAATCACCCTTCCAACCTCTATGCCTATGAAAGCATGGATATTGAGTTTGAATGCRCAGTCTCTGGAAAGCCTGTGCCCACTGTGAATTGGATGAAGAATGGAGATGTGGTCATACCTAGTGATTATTTTCAGATAGTGGTAATTATCTTTATTATTTTTAATATTAGTTTAACAGCCCCATTTACTGTTTACTTTTTTTTTCCATTTGCTATTCTTTTCTGGGAAAATAAGTTTTTGTTGGGAATTTTAATGATATATTAGGAAAATATTCTGAAAAGTAAATGATTTCTAGACTTAGATTTTTGGGTGGTGGTGGTGGTGGGGGTGGTGTGCAAAAATAGCAACCAAACAGTCCAATCCCCTATTTTATAGAAAAGGCTTTAAACCAAACAAACAGAAAACACAGAGGGCCTTGACTTTCCAAATGGGTTCATAGAAAAGAAATTAGAACCCAGTTCTAGTCTATTGTAAGCCAGGATTTTCTTATTTCTTTAAGTTTTATCAATTGCAGTTAATTTTCAATAAGACACGATACTTACGATTTTGGTCATTTTACTTTGATAATAAATATAGATTTCATTTCTTTGYTATTTTTTTCAGATTGTACAAGCCAATTCTACATGAGCAGTAATAATGGAGATAGTGATAGTATTCATAGCAGTAATAGAGAGGCCATGAGTCTCAGAGTTCACATTTCTTTGTAACTTTTAGCATTGAATTGAACTGAAGCTAAAAGAAATCGTTCTCATGGATCCCTATCTCTTTCCTTGTGGGAGATAATAGGGATACTGGTACTATATTCAATGAGTTGTCATAGTACATCATGAATGTTCCATGCCTACCAATGTTGTTTTTGCTATTACCAACAGAATTCTTTGGTCCCTTGAAAATGCTTTATGCAAACTCCTCCTTAGGTGTAGGTTAGAATCAAAGCTTTTGTGTTCAGACATGAGAAATATAAAAAGCGCCTTCCCAATATCAAGAAAATTTACAGCTAAAAAAAAAAAAAGAGAGAGAGAGAGGGGTTTAGGTCCACATATCTTATGTTTGAAATACAAACATGACCCTGTCAAAGAAGACCTGTCTCAAAAGCCATGTCTCCCAAACCAAAAGGAAACTGATGTAGGTTCCCCTGTGGGGCCAGGCACCGACTCTCCCTATGATGTTACACTGGCTCTTGTTGGTAAATGCCTCTTCTACAATCAGGTGGCATTCTGAAATGTTCATCTCTTTGTGTATGTATTTTGGCATACCATACAGATTCTTCAGGAATAAATCCATAAACCATACTTTTATCACTTCTATCATCACTTACCATTTTTCACTTTTAATTGCATCTGTTTAATTGGTTGGGAATAGAGTAAGAGAGGGGAACATTTAACATTCGAATGCCACACCAATCCATTTCTTCCTTGAAGTGCAATGCTGTCTCCACTCCCACTGAATTAAAAATGACCTGCCATTGGGAAACTTGAAAAGTGTTCTGCATGCCTAAAATATATGGTACTTGCATATAAAGGAAATTGTTGAGGCCCTGAAGGACTCATGATAAAATGCGACATTTATTTTTTCTACAGTTAGAATAATCTTCCTCCCAGCATGACTCATTACAGCCAACCTATTTAAATGTTTCTTTTCTTAAGGTGAAAGAAAAATGTACATCATGTGCCTTACTCACATTAAATTGTGCTTAAAAATATTTCCTCAATAATTCCGAAATCTGAGAGCCATTGTGTGTCGAACATGTAACACGGAGCGCATATAGTAACTTATATGAGAATTGTTAATTAGAAGTTAGCCAGCTTTATCTAAGAATTTTACATCAGCTGAGAATTGACTACAAGACACTAAAAACAATTAAGAATTCCCCATGAGGTAATATTTATCTCTTAATGACTTCAGGGGAAGTGATTTAACATGTCTCACTTACTGAACTAATTCTTCCACTAATATTGAAGATAAACTCAGTTTGTATAATTAAATGCTATCTCTAGATCGTTTTATCATCCATCCTTGAATAAGATGGTGGCTCAATTTATTTTAAAAAGTAGTTAACATTGGTGTATTTCACCCATAGATTTCTGCAGGTGAAATATTTTGGCTATAGAACAATAAGACTTACGTAGAAAACAGCCACTGTACCCCTCTCTCCAAATCCTTAAAAGTTCAGATGTCAAAGCAATTACTATTTTATAGGATTTTTCAGATACTTTTTTGGGGGGATAAACAATCGCAAAAAAATATGTAACCTAGATATACTGTGCCTGAGAATTTTCAAAGATAAGTGTTTTGTTCGCATTCTGTCTTATTTTATTTTTCCTGAGTAGCTTCTAAACCTAGCTTCCTTCAATAATAAGTAAAGCAAGTTCATTTATTTGGGTACAAATCTTTGTTCTTTCCCTACCTAAATGAAGACCTTTCTTTTGACTGATAATTTGGATTTTGAGGATGAAGTGTTCTTTTCTGAGCATATTTTCATTGTAGAATTAGGCGRAATTGGTGCTCATGAATTCAGAAGAATGTTGAGAATGTATGACTTTCCCAGGTAGCCTGGTGCATATCTGTGGGGATGAGAACCCCCRTGGCCTCCTTGTTTTTGTTTCTTCTGTCATGTTTTATTAAATTTTATTTTTKGGTTTATGGTCATCTTTTCACTTTGAGGATTTTGTTTTTACTTTTTAAATGATCTCATCTGCTCTTTCTCTCCGCCCCACCCCCACCCCCAGGGAGAAAGCAACCTACGGATTCTTGGTGTGGTGAAGTCAGATGAAGGCTTTTATCAATGTGTGGCTGAAAACGAGGCTGGCAATGCCCAAACCAGTGCGCAGCTCATTGTCCCTAAGCCTGGTAAGATGATGGGGACTTTGTCTGGGGTCTRGAGTCACAGTTATGCACGATCCACTTGTAAAATTCATGTTGCTTTCCTTAATTCTCAATACGAAATTATTTAATTAATTAAGGTATAGATGCATGTATTCCCTCTAGAAAATTTCATGAAARTTTTATCTGTCTACCTTCTGGGAAATAAAAGTCACCATGAACAATAGGGCCTCTATTTCCAAGATAAACACTAAATTATTGTCATCTCTGTCTTTTGTAGTCTGTCTTTCTTCCCAGTGTTTCATATAAAAATGAAATAGAACATGTATTACATTTATATTATATGAATATTTAGTTATATATATGCATACATATAAATTTATGTAAGGAACAAACATATATTTATATAGACTTAAATTTGTGAAACTGGTGGAAAAAAAATAGCAGGAATAACCACTTAAAAGCAAGGTCAGTTATCTTTTCTTTTTTGCTACAATTGATAAGTTTTTTTATTCCATTCTGTTCTGTTGTCTTCTAGAGGGTTAAAATGGTGATGTATTGAAAACCACCATAAAACTATATTGAACATATCATATAATATTCCTATAGTAGCATGGTCCTCCCAGAGTTGACGGAGGGTACAGAGAAGGAAAGAAAGAATAAACATATGAACAGATTGATTGCTCTGAAATATTTAACACTAAAAACGTTAAAACATATTTTCTTAAAGCAGTAACTGAGCAGTTATTTACATAGACCCAAATACTATTAAATATTAATACTTTCTCTAAAAAGTTTTCATATCATGTTTGTTAGGTAAATTTCAATTTGGTTAGGTCTTCTTTCTGATATATCTCACTCTTGACTTCATCTTGTTCTGAAGTAAGCTTTATAGAAAGTAGTTGAAATATATGCAACATGGTCTTTGTTTTTTATCATTTTAAAATGGGCCTCATATCCTTTGTATCCCTGGTCAATTTTCTGAAGACTCACATAATGAAGCTCACAAACGTGAAACTTTATCTTTTCTTCCTGAATGAAAAAAATAAAATAAAATAAAAAGCAGCTACAGAACAATAGCCCCAGATGTGTAAAGGAACAAGACTATCTAGGAATAGAAAAAACAGTTAGCTCTGGTTCAAGAGTCTGATTTTTGTGAAAACCACTTCTTTTCCCTCCATTTAGTGTGAGCTTTGTGTTGGATGAGCTCCATTTGTGTGGTTAAGTATGTTTTCTTCTGAAGAGCAAATAATGGATAAGTGAGAGAAAGGAAACCTCTAAAATTAGGATTTCCAGTCTGAATTATGCTTTGAGAACCATGCCAACCTTTAGTTGGCAACAATTAATATGGCCTTGTTGAAACTAACACTGGCTGCTGCACAACTCATCCAAGAGAGCTGTAGTTAACCTTGACTGTTGAACTAAGGACATACAGTGCAGGAAGATGTGAGCTATCACCTCATATTTCTTAAGCAGGTAGAGGTATCCCTTGTAGGCCTTGAGGACCAATGATCATCTCCTACAACTGTCCCAAGGAACGGAGGATTCGTCTTTGAAGTTCTGGACTGTATAGAGTTAGAAGTTCTCGTTTTGCTCTGTGGAGACACTGAGAATATCCTGTCTGTGTGTGTGTGTGTGTGTGTGTGTGTGTGTGTGTGTGTGTGATGTACACATGAACTCGGCTGGGGATGACTGTAACATGGGAAATGGACAACAGACTGTGGCTAAAATCTATCTGAAGCTGCTTTCAATGTACAAGGGAGAAAGGAGAGGTTAGCAGTGGGAAGAATCTGCATTTCCACCCTGGGAAGAACCAGTGTGTGTTCTATCTAAAGAAATCAGAAGTGAACATTTCAGGTTCAGACTGTGCCCCAGAGGTCCTGACTGCAGAACTATTTTCCAACCCAAGGACAATAAAGGAACAAAGCTGGGTATGGAGCTGAGCTGGGACCTGGAACAGAAAGTCAGACAGAAATTGCCTTCCCAACTTCAAGAAGGGCCAAGTGAAGGAATTTCCATGGTCCAGGGTCTTGGACAAATCCAATAAACTGTCCCACAAAAAGGAGGCATGCAGAGGCCATCTAGGATGGTGGGCTTTTGAGAAAACATGGTGAGACATTCCAAATCCATATTCCCAATCCTACATTCCAAATCCATATTCCCTCTCTGACCCTGGAGAAACAGAGGAAGGAAGGGGAAGCAGAGGAAGGCAATAGACTGAATGAACAGGAACACAGGGAGAGAGAGTTCAGCATCCCCTTTGCCTATCTGTGATCACAGGTCAGCTTTGTAAGATGAGGAGAAGCTTTAAATTGAATATTAGTTTAAAATGTTGATTTATATTCCACCAGAGTATATGTCTGTTCTTGTGTATGTATGAGTATGTAAATATGTATATGTTCCTGCTGTGCGATTTCTGTTCATTTGTTCATTTTGTTTTATTTTTAAAGACTCCAAGGTATTGTAAATTCTTCAAGGTATCTGACTCTTGGGGCCAGATAATTGAAGTACACTGCAAACAGGGCTGACAGGGTGTGTTTGGAAGAAGATAACAGGAAAAAAAATAAAGGTCTTTTCTTTTAAATACTCCAGTAGCTCAGATCACACCCACCCAATGAACCAGTTATAGACATTCCAATTCACTTACTCTCCAGGAAGCTGCAACAGGTAGTCCTATCTTACAGGTATCTTACAATCTTCTTGGGTCTTGATTTGCTTCCTTCTGTGTGATCATAAAGGAACAAGGCTCTCCTCGGTAGAAATGTCATTGGCCTCCCTGCTACSACCAGCCTCGGAGAATCTTGATGATCCTTTCTTCTCCCATCTAGGTGGTAGTGTGTTGTCAGCCATGCTCTTGGTCTGTGTTCATTGTATTTGGCATTGGATTAGGAAGAAAGGAACAGAAATGAAAACAAAAATCTGAAAGCGTGGACAGGACACCATTGTGACGGTCTTACATTTCCCCCTTTATAAATGATGGATTGCTTTTTCCTGGCTATTTAATCAGGTCTTCAAATAATGCCACTCCAATTCCTCAGAGACACAGTGTAGGCTGTGTGCACAGATGGTGGAGAGGCCAGCTATAAATATAAATTTAGCAAGGAGGCAGACTCTGGTGGGAAGAACATAGCCCTTTCTGTTTAAGTTTTGACAATAAACGGTCACCATGCATTTGGAGGCACATTGTGGGTCTGCATAGCCCAGCTGTTCGGCCTCGGCCTGTCCACAGGCTGGTAGCCGAGAGTTACTTAGGTAACCACAGCAATCTGCTCTGGGTGAAATACAGACAATAATCTGTTCGAGCCAGTGTCCATCACCAGTGAATAGCTATGTGAGTCTAATGAAGTTTCAGCATAATCTTTTATATGTAGTTAGCTATTCCCTCTTGAGCCACTAGTGACTTAGGAAATAAACTAAACATAATATACTAAATTAAACTTTGTTAATAATTTTTTTTTCTTTTCAAAAAACAAGTTTGGGAAAAATACTTGAAATGCGTACATGTTTTCATCTAGGTAAAGATGGATATCAATGACATTTTAAAAAATCATTATCCCAGAAGAGGTTGTATTAGTAATGGTGTTCAASTAACCCTGTAACAACATATCACACTTCCATACTGCCATCCATCTGTGTGTATACATATTCTGTATATGTACACCTAACATACCCTCACTCATGAACACAATATACGTACACATATATACTCACATGTATACACACACACATAGTCAAACATACATGCATACGCAGAGGATGACCTATTGCATACTTAAAACTTTATGTGTACATCAAAAAAACATAGCCATATTATGTAAGTGGGGGTGAATGCAGGTTAAAATGGTTTAATTGATTTATATCATTTACAATATGTTAATTTTTTGTAAAACCTAGTTATATTTTTTTGTTTTTAATTTTGATTATTTTTGAGAGGGTAGAATGACATAATGGTTAGAATATTGGCATAGAAAATTGGTAGGAATCATTTAAAGAGATTATCAAGAGCTCCAAGTCCACTATTAAGGAAATAGCCAGCTGCCCCTGACCTTAAAATGTATTAAGCATCACAGAATGTCACTTCCATAGCCAGAACTGGAAAAGGGTGAGAAGTAAGTTTAGATCTTATTGGTCTAGTAAATGGTGATGAATTAATTATCCCCTGGTTGCCATATACTTAACAGAAGTGTAGGTAGATAGTAATTAAGACTATTTGATAGCTGGGTGGAGAAGTTAGCAAGTATCTAGGTTTGCTGGAGGAGAGCAGAGAGCAGGAGCAAATAAGAGAGAGATAAGACAACAGATATCTCTGAGTTCCTTATTCTGATTCTAGCTGCTGGGTGGCATTCCACCTCTTCCTGGTGTCTACAGTGGAAAATCATCAAAAGTAACTGACTATAGAGAGGAGAACAGGAGGCCCATGGACCTGGGATTACACCTATGATAGGAGACTGTGTACCTGGAATGTGTCTAATAAAATGGCAGGAATAGCTGAAGATTGCATAAAATTATCATGGGAAGAAATGAGGTCTTCCTCATATTCTACTAGGTACATAAAGGCTATGAGGAAGGAAAATCCATATGATCACAGAATAAATGCTATTATAAATATTCCCTAAAATGTAGATTTTCTTGGGCAAGCTATCGAATCATGCCTTCYACATAAGAATTAAATATGCAATGTGTGTCTCATGTTAATATTGAACATTTTCTAATGTGAGATTTATTTTTTTCTCTACCCCTGGCAACAAATAGAGTCATACTGAAGTAGAGGAAATATATTGGTTAGACATTTAGAAAAATGAGAACTGTTATCAATTACCTGTCCTCCCCTGGAAAAGGTTACATATTACAAATGATGTTGAATTTTAAACATTTTATTAAGGCAGTATATCATACAGCATGAATTAGGAAAAATATTTAAGTCTGATCATGAACACTAAAACATAAAATCAAAAGTCTGTTGGATTTGCTTCCTGAGTTGTTTCTTATTGATRGGAGAAGACTATCTAGAAATCCAAATGGCAAGA